GGTGTCAGTGTTTGCCTAGTTAGTACAAATCCCAGTGGGGGGAGAGGGTGGGGATTTCTAGCATAATACTTGATTTATTTGTTGTTGAATTGAAACAGTTGGTTCCTGTATCTTGTCTGGCTTCGGATAATGAAAAGCCTTCACATAAAATTTCCAAACTATAATTTGGTATTGGTAACTTGAAAACTCTTTTGAGTGCTGCATCAAACAAATTGATGTACATTAATTTTTTTAGAGAACTGGAAAAAAAAATATCAAGACAGACTGAAATTCTCTGGTCTGTCTGCTTAGTTTCTCCTAAGAAGAGGCCATTTGTTGGAATATTTGTGAAATCACATTGTGGAGTTAATCACAGAATGTAGGCAAAGTAGATAAGGTTAGCTCTGTTTCACCAGTATTGGTGATATAGTGGGGAAATGCACATTCTTACACAGTTGGTCTGAATGAAAACATTTATCAAAATGTGTACTTACTCAGAATTTATTTAAATTTCAAAACCATAGAGGAATTACAGATGTGTATACCAACTGAAAAAGGCCTAGAAGGGCTGGGGTTATAGCTCAGTTGGTAGAGTGCTTGCCTTACATGTACAAGGTCCTGGGTTTGATCTCCAACACCACAAAAAAAAGAAAAAGGCCTAGAATAGTATACATTATTATATGTATCACTATGCAGTTATGTACCACTGTGTACATATGTTTAAAGCACAAACCCATACATACATGCCTGTATATTACTAGACTTTATTTTCCTTTTTATTAGAATACCTTTATAAGGTATACATTTCCTTTTTTTTTTTTTGGTACTGGGGATTGAACTCAGGGGCACTTGACCACTGAGCTACATTCCCAGCCCTATTTTGTATTTTATTTAGAGTCAGGGTCTCACTGAGTTGCTTAGTGCCTTGCTTTTGCTTAGGCTGGCTTTGAACTTGTTATCCTCCTGCCCTAGCCTCTCCAGCTGCTGGGATTACTGGCATGCACCATCACACCCAGCTGTACATTTGCTTCTGAGGAACAGAGATAGGGTTTAAAACAGAAAATTTTTTAGTGTTGCCTTCTGAATTTGGAACAATGTTGATCTATTTTGAAAACTAATTAGCTATAACTAAAAATTAAGAAATGTACAAGAACAGATTTCTAAAATGTTTAATTTCATTTTTTTTTTTCTATTTTCAGCAAACTTCAAGGCTTTTGAGAGTTTTAAAGACCATATGAAAAAAAAAAAGCATCAGTTTTCTGCTTGGTTTTATGTCTTAAGTGATTTTGATATTATTATTAAATTATGGTAAACTTAAAAAATATTCTTGAATATGTATTTTATGAAATTTTGATATTGTTATACCAAATACAGTGGTACATTTGAAAATTTTTATAGGAAAAACACTTCCAGCATTCTTTAAAAAAAAAAATAGGCTGATTTAAGAGGCCCTGGGTTTGATCCCCTGCACTGCAAAACAACAAAATGTAGATATGTATAAAGATATATTCTAGCTGGTTGAGCTGGTGCATACCCGTAATCCCAGCAACTTGAGAGCTTGAGGCAAGTTCAAAGCCAGGAACTCAAATTTAAAGCCAGCCCCAGCAACTTAGGGAGGCCCTAAGCAATTAGCCAGAAGACCCTGTCTCAAAAAAAAGGGCAGGTGAGGATGTGGTTCCATGGTAAAGCACCCCTGGGTTCAATCCCCGGTACAAAGAAAAAAAGGCCCTTCTAATGAAGCATGCATTTAAAAACTAAAACTAACGTTAGCTTATCAGTGGAATAAAGGCACTTTTAATTTACCAAAACAAAAAACCCCTAAAGTTAATTTTGGTATTAGTCACTATTTTTTTTTCCCCACTCTTCTGTTATTACCTTGATACCAGTGAGCATACCCAAGAATTACTTGTTAGTGTATTTTAAATCACCTTTGGAACATCAAAATTCTGGACAAGTCTGACCTTAGTAAAGGTATTTTCAAACATAAATACAACATACTATTTAAATGCATCAAATTACAAACTGGTTGTTGGATATAACAGCCTTGAGTTTCTGACTCCTTCAAAGTTTTATGTGAAATTATGTGTGGAGACAGGCTTGTGTGTATGTGTTGGGCCCATAATTCTCATTGGAGTCTCATCTCGCTGGCCCTCTTCCTTGTCAAATTTCTCAATGTGGTAAGTTTTTTTTCTGTGCATTTTTTTTTTTCCCTGCAGAGATATTTTGGGAATCACTCTCTATATAATAAACTTACTTTTTTCTTCACTGTGCTGTATTTATTCATTAAATGAGTACCTAACATGTTCTAGGTCCTAGAGAATCCAGTGGAATACCGGAAAGGCAAAGTCCTAGATTTCATCTTGCTTACCTTCAAATAAATACAGCCAGACCCTAGAAGAAAACACCAACTACAAAACCATGGTGAAGATTAAAAAAATGTGGGCAACTGTAACTGAATGGCAGTTACAGGATGAGGTTAAAGAAGAATCAAGGATTACTTAGGTTTTGGTGTTAAATAGCTAGGATAATATTAGTTGCTGAGACTGGGAGAATAACAGGTTTGAGAGGAGAAAATCAAGTTTTGTTCTGATCATGTTAATTTGAGATGCCTACTGAACATCCAGGTAGAAAAATCTCTTAGGGATCAGTGGTCAGATAGCACTGAAGATGTGTTGGTGTCACTGAAGTTCCATGAGGGCAAATATTTTTGTTTTTATAAACAATTTGTTAAACTTTAAAATTAATATATGAGATACACAAAGTCCCCTATTATCACTGGACACCTCAATGAGTTTTAACAAACTGCATAGCCAATTTAACAATATAACAAGATTGAAACAGTCCTACCCCAGAAGTTCCCCCTTTTCCCTTCTTGTGACAACACTCCATCCCCCTCAAAAGGGAACTCACTAGATCTTTTTAAATTTTTTTCTGTTAATGTTATTGATTGACATAGTTATGTAGCCTGACTTCTAACAATGAGATTTGTTTAGCCAAATTTTGTCTATTAGATAATGGAGTCAAGCCATCTGTATTATTTTACATTGTTTCAATATATTATGTTAGTGATACTCATCCAAGAGTACTAGTTGCTTGACATCCTTGTTTTTTTGTGCCAGCGCTAGAACAGTGACTTACTTTCCTATGTAGTAGGTGCAATAACTACATAAATAACCTGTTCAAAGGACTAATCTGAACGTAGATGCCATTTAAAACCATGAGCCTCAATAAGATCATCTTGGAAGATATGTGACTAGATACGAGGACTGATAAACAAGCACATTTAGAGAACTGGCAGAAGAGGGACAAGTGAAGGAAAATAGAGAGCGTGGAGTTCTACACCAAGAGAGAAAAATGTGTTCCAAATGGGAATAGTAAGCTGCTTTGAATGCTGCTGAGAGATCAAGGCCTAGGTTTGGGAAAGGAAAGGAGTTAGGAATTCTATTTTTGGTCATTTCAAACCTGAGAGACCTAAGGATTACTTGTTCAAATGGAGAACTCAAATTTGAGCAGCTGGATAAAAGGAGTCTATAGAGTTAGAACCGGAAATATAAGTTTGGTATTTGTAAGCATACATATATTTGTGGAGCAAGTATAGGTGGAGAAAAAATAGGGTCCCAGCCTTGGGGCATCTCTACTTAGAAACTGAACAGAATAAACTTGCAAAACAGACTATGAAAGCATATAAGGTAGGAGAAAAATCTAGAAAGGGTCTTATCACTGGGGTAATGCCAACATCTGTTGTGTTAAATGTTGCTGAGAATAGAAAAATGATAGGCCAGCTACCAATGAATAAATAACTACCAGTCAATAAATATACTTTGAGGCTGGAAGTGTAGCTCAGTGGTAAATCTTATGCTATAGGGATGAGACCCTTGGTTCAATCTCCAGCACCTAAGGGGGAGGAGGGATTTCTACAAGATACTTTACAATGGCCACATAAACTTCCCTTGTATGTCTCTGCCAAAATCTGTTTCATCAGTTCTTTGTTGAACTATTAGATTCTTCCCAAACTTTTAGAATCATACTATTTTAATAAGTATTGGGTCAATTATTCCATGGGTATATGGGCTAAAAAAAAAAAAAAAAAATGCACACTTAAAATTCTACTCCCACCCTGAGGAGAACAATAATCATGAAAGCTTTGCCATTTTGATAGGTGACACGTGGCATCTTACATTTTGCATTATTTTAAAAATTTTTTTTAGTTGTAACCGGTCGCGATGACACTCACGCCTGTAATCCAAGCGGCTTGGAAGGCTGAGGCAGGAGGATCAAGAGTTCAAGCCAGCCCTAGCAATTTAGCATGACCCTGTCTCAAAGAACAAATAACAAAGGGCTAGGGCTGGGGATGTGACTCAGTGATCAAGTGCCCTTGAGTTCAGTTCCTGTTACCAAAAAAAAAAAATTTTAGTTGTAGATGGGCATAATATCTTTATTTTATTTACTTTTAAATAAAAGTGGATGAGAACCTAGTGTCTCACACATACTAGGCAAGTGCTCTACCACTGAGCTACAGCTTTACATTTTACATTCATTGGCATATTTGTTTATGAATACTCTGCCCTTATCTTTTGCTCCAAATGAGCTTTTACTGGGTAAACTGTATGGCAGATTATCCAGAAGATAAAAAGGAGGAAAATTAAGATTGAAATGTTTTAGTAAAGTGAAAAAACACATGTAAGTCAGGTTAAAAATCACAGCTTGTGAACACACTGGCTGAGCAACCTTGATCAGGTAACTTCTCAGGTCTCTCGTTTGTGAAAATTTTAACTTAAAAGTCAACAATGAATGGGATCTTGTACACAATACTGGCAATTATGACAATTTTACGATAGACAGCAGAAGTAAATGCATCATGGCACAAGCATCTAAAAAACGGCAAGTAATTTCTTGGTTTGAAGAAATAATGAGGCCGTTTCTGGCACCTCCAGCGATTGCTGCTGCTCCTTCCGGGTGTCAGTGGGGGTTACTGTGGCAACCAGCACGCGCTGCTCAAGGCTCAATCCTGCGGCCGTTACCGACCTCAGCCCTTTTGCTCTCCGCGTACCAGAAACTCTGCGGAGCACCCTGCCCAACCAGTCTTGGACTGATCACCCCTGGGGTGAGGGCGAGGAGCTGCGGGGCAGCATGGCCAAAGCGGCAGCCTCCTCGGCGCTGGAGGATTTGGACCTGAGCGGAGAGGAGGTCCAGCGGCTCACCTCCGCCTTCCAGGATCCGGAGTTCCGGCGAATGTTCTCCGCGTACGCCGAGGAGCTCAATGACCCAGAGAACCGGCGGCGCTACGAGGAAGAGATCACCGCACTGGAGCGTGAGCGCGGAGTGGAGGTGCGGTTCGTGCACCCGGAGCCAGGCCACGTGCTGCGTACCAGCCTGGACGGGGCTCTGCGCTGCTTCGTGAATGTGTGCAGCAACGAGCTGGTGGGCGCGCCCAGCAGCCGGCCAGGCCCGGAGGACGGCGGTGGCGCGGCGATGGGTAGCCACTGGTCCCTGCCGTACAGCTTGGCGCCTGGCCGAGAGTACGCGGGGCGCAGCGGCACCCGCTACAAGGTTTACGATGTGGTGTTCCACCCAGAAACGCTGGCGCTGGCCCGGCGCAACAAGCGCTTCTGTCAGATGCTGGACGCCACGGCCCTGGAGGCAGTCGAGAAGCAGTTCGGCGTCAAGCTGGACCGGCGGAACGCCAAGACCCTGAAGACTAAATATAAGGGGACCCCAGAGGCTGCCGTGCTGCGCACGCCCCTTCCGGGGAGCGCCCGGGCCCCACCCAACAGGAAGGAGGATCCTCTCTCAGATTTTCCCTATCCCTACCGGTACCCAGCGACAGCCCAGAACTCCGTCGGCCCGGGGCCCCAGGTTCCCAAACCTGCGCTGGAGACTCAGCAGCCCGCCCCCACCGAGCCCCGCTGCAGCGTGGTGCAGCGCCACCACGTGGACCTTCAGGATTACCGGTGCTCCCGGGACTCGGCCCCGAGCTCGGTGCCGCACGAGCTGGTGGTCACCATCGAGCTGCCGCTGCTGCGCTCGGCTGAACAGGCGGCGCTGGAAGTGACGGGAAAGCTGTTGTGTCTTGACTCGAGGAACCCCGACTACCGGCTGCGGTTCTCGCTCCCCTACCCGGTGGACGACAGCCGTGGCAAGGCGCAGTTCAACAAGGCCCGGCGGCAGCTGGTGGTCACGCTACCAGTGGCGCCATTCGCGCGCCGCGGGCCCCCTGCGGCACCGGAAGAGTCGGTGGGCCAGTCCGGAACTGATGGCGTGGCCTGCGCTTCCGCTAGTGTGGGGAAAGCGGGCCCCATGGAGGACCCCAGCCCGGATACCAACGGGATCCAGGTGGTAGACGCTGGGATCGCCACCCCAGGTGCCTATGAGGTGGCGTGTCTGTCAGCGCGCGCTGGGGAGGAGAGAGAACTCCAGCCGGAAGAGCGAGGTTTGGGTAGGCACTCGGTGTCGCCGCCAGGCCTAGAGGAGAAGTCGTCCCCAGGAGCTGGGAGCTCACCTGGGGATGGTGGCGTATGCTCCCCTAGTATTTCATCCCTGGCCCTTGACCAGGAGTCTCCTGTAGGAAGAGGGAGTGCGTGCGGAGATATCAGTGTAGAGACACACGAGGACCTGGAGGGCCCGGGTGGCGAGCCTTCTGACCCAGCAATGGGTGGCCCCGGCACCGAGAGCAGGGAACCTTTGTGTCCTCCTATGCAGTGTAATCAAGATGAAGAATCCTTGACTCTGCTAATTCAAGTGCCCCGGATTCAGCCTCGAAGTCTTCAGTGGAATCTGAACCCCCTTTGGTACAAACTGTGCTTCTCCACACAAAACTCGGTTTATTCCTTCTTCTTGCAGTTTGCTCCAGAAAATAAATTAAGTACCAAAGAACCCGAGATTAGCGTTTCTTCAAACAATGCAGTGATAGTACTGGCCAAATCTCCAGAGAGCCATGGACGTTGGCGAGAGTGGTACTATGGTTTGAACAAAGATTCTTTGGAGGTAACAGTTCTTTCTAGAGTCATAATGTTTGAAATATTCCATCTCTGTTCTAAAATTTACTGTTACAGGCTCCCTCTCAATTTATCCTAAACAAAGCATTTTCTATAACTTTTCACGTTATGCTGGTACTTGTTAAACGTATTTTCAGGAAGGTTTACACGTATCCTCCCTGATGGATGGGTTTCAAATCCTCAAAGTTGTTGGTAATAAAGTTGTTTTCTTGGGCTCCATTGACTCCGAAAGAGACCGAACAGATTTTCAGTGATTCCTGGACCTCTAAAATTAAATACAAAAAGTTGAGAGTAATGTCTCTTGGAGAAAAGGACTAACTTTAGTCTCAAAGGGTTTGTGACCCAAATAAGTTTAAGAAGCACTCCAAAGTGGCAAGTAGGATTTTCCAAGCTTAGAAAGTGAGTAATAATAAATTTGTTTCTGAGAAGAAAAGTAACTCGGCAAGTGCCACATAGTTCTTAGGTGAGAAAGCAAACTCAGATGTTGGATTAATCTAAATCCCAGACAATTTTCTCTATAGGGTGCTCTTAGTAATTTTAGTCACAGATTTTGGTGAGGTGGACCTCTCTGGTGGGTGCTATATTGTGTTCAAAGTTTCTCTTTGCGTTTCTTTTAATCATCTTTAGGACCCTATTAGTATTTGCCACAATGGCTGGCATTTAATGAAGTGTAAATAGTATTTGTTGAGCTGAATAGCACAGAACACTAGAACTGGACTGAGCATTATCTAGTTTACTGAGGATAAATTTTGATGAGTAACTATGTCCTGTTGTAGTTCTGCTATGCTTTTTAGGTTATTAAGTTCTTGAATTTCACATTTAATACTCCACTGTTACGAAAAATATTAAAAAGAATACTTAAAATTCTAAAGATTCTTTAAACTCAAATGAGCAATTGGTGATTTTGATTAAGGTTTGTACCAAGAGTCAAGTTTTCAGAAACACTAATTGCACAGCTTGTATATTAAATATTAAGCTTTTGACCTTGGCCTTTAACCTGTCAGAAATTTTCACTTCTTCCTGTTGTTTTTCTATAAATCTGCTAATAAGTTAGCTCTGTATTTTATGAGTTGGATATCTGAGAAGTGGTTAACTTGAAGCCCTCCAAAAATGGTAAAATAAATAGTTGGGGAAGATATTTTGTAAGAATATAAAATATGAAATTCAGTATCTGTTTATGTCAGCAGAAGGGGGAAATTTAGGAAAGGGCAGTAGTTTTCCTGTAATTGTTTTAGCAAATAAAAATAACTCGATGTGGGAAGAAATTTATGGACAAGCAGTTAAGAGAATATTCAAGAATATGTTTTAATCTGATTTTCTAGCATGCTAACATTTTAGCAAGGAAACTAAATCAAAATGGAATTATTTCTTTGAAGCTTGAAATAGATTTATTATAATTACTTCCATTAGTCATCATATTTGTTATGATGCTGATGGGACCATGATGTCCAGTTCTTTTGCTTTGCTTGCTTACAGGACTAGGCTTTAAGTGTTAAAGTACATTAATTTTAAAAATTATGAGTAGTGAGCCATATATAAGGATATTATGTATAATAACCATAATTTAGAAACTTTTGTGCTTCAAGACCAGTATTGTTATTTTACACATATACAAATAACTAAATATGTTTCTTTAAATCTTAAATATTCACTGAGAATTTTCCTAGAACTTCAGGGCCAGTGAAATAATTATCTTTTTAATAAAGTCAATCATTAGAAGTCAAGCTTGTGTAGGTATTCTGCATTTTAATCATAACCAGTTCTATTATAAATATCTTCCTTGGTTTATCTAAAAATATTTGGTGCGTTTTTTGCAGTGAAGCAAAGACGAATCCCCTTTTCAGAAGCATGAACCCTAGAAGGTGCTGGAGATATAGGTCATTGGTAGAGTACTCGCCCACCATGTAGAAGGTCCTGTTTTGGATCCTTAATACCATAAAAAACAAAGTAAAAAAAAAAAAGAATGAACCTTCTGTAATCAGTATTATTCTGGATCTTCAAATTATAGCAAGGCAAATTACTCTCACTGTAAAATTTTCTTTCTTTTTTTTTGGTACTGGGGATTGAACTCAGGGGCACTTGACCACTGAGCCACATCCCCAGACCTGTTTTGTATTTTATTTAGAGACAGGGACTTACTGAGTTGCTTAGTGCCTCCCTTTTGCTGAGGCTGGCTTTGAACTTTTTGAGCCTCCTATCTCAGCTTCCTGAGCCACCGGGACTACAGGTAAGTGCGAATGTACCCAAACCCGCTCAATGTAAAATTTTCTGTTTTCAAGGTTCACTTTTTTTTTCTTTTGGTACCACGGATTAAACCTAGAGGTGCTTAACCACTGAGCTACATCCCTAACCCTTTTAAATTTTTTATTTAGAGACAGGGTATTGTTAAATTGCTTAGGGCCTTGCTAAATTGCTGAGAATGGCTTTGAACTTTCAATCTTTATGCCTCAGCCTCCCACGCTGCTGGGATTACAGATGTGTGCCACTATGCCCAGTCCAAGGGTCACTTTTGTATAGTATGTGTTCACAGATTAAATATTGTTTAATATAACCTGGCACGATGGCATACTCCTCTTGTCCCATTGACTCTGAAGGCTGAAGTAGGCCTCAGCAACTTGGCAAGACACTGTCTCAAAATAAAAAACAAAAAGGGCTGGAGATGAAGCTCAGTGGTAAAGTGCCCCTGAGTTTAATTGCCAGTAAACACACACACACACACACACACACACACACACACGGTGTAATATAAAAAAAGAACTTAAAATGAACTGTGTTTATTTTGTAATTATAAAATTTGTTTATTAAAAAAAAGGTCAGGAAAATTAATTTTATTTGGGGCAGCAATGAACTGATTTTATGAGTTAAGTAATTTTAAGTATGATTAATATGTTTATTCCTCCCACACCTTAACTATAACATTTAACATGAATATGAACAGATTGCAAAACTAAATTATAATTTGTAGTGGAGTTTGCACTTATAACTCTAGAAGTGAGGTTATTCTTAAGAAATATTAGGAGGAAAAAAGCATAATGTGTAAGTAGTATTATCTAGTAGAGAAATACACTTCAGATTTAATAAACCTAGAAAAACTACCAAGGCTTTATTTTCCCCCCTTTTCAGGTTTTTTAAAAAATAAATTATACATACACTTTTGGTATAGTTTGTATTGTTTTGTACACTAGTAAATTTTCTTTTTCAGTATAGCCCTTAGAAATAATGTTAAGATAAACATTTTCAAAAGTGTAACCCTGATATGTGTGAGAATTTTTGTGAGCTGTCTTCCTAAGTATAACTGTCCACTGTGACTTATAAGATGGAATATTTTTTTCCTTTTTCCTTTAGGAAAAGTTGTTTATTAATGAAGAAAATGTTAATGAGTTTCTTGAAGAGGTCCTGTGCTCTGCATTCATACAGAAAATGCCCCTGTCCCCACCATTAATTGAAGTTCTTCAGGTTACTGATGAGAAGATTCAAATTCACGCAGAGGTAAGATTATAATGGGCTTTCTAAGAGAAGTGACTACTGGAAAGGTGGAAGCCTAATAACTTAAATTATTATTCCTTAATCTCATAACTATGAACAAAATGTAGATAATAACTGGGCAGAGTGATTGTGCTAAACCTTATTTAATCCCAAAATAATCCTCCAATTAGAATCAAATATTTAGGATGTGTGAGTTTGCCCAGGGATGAATACAAGTCTTTTTTTCTCCCAAGTTGTGGAGATTATGTCATAGAATTTGTTCATTCTTTCCAGTTGAACCCAGTCTTTTAATATAGGATGCAAAAGTAACTGACACCACTGAGTGATGTGTGAATTGGGGGAAGGGTAACTGATGAATATAGAAATTAAAGAAAACGCAAGAAATTCAACAATTCCCTTATAAGAATGTCTGTTAAAAGGTTTTGTAGGCAATGTTAAAAAAGCTTGGATCATTTTGTTCTGAAGGAGAAGACAGTGATTGAAAAGATTTAATCAGAAAATTAAACCCAGTTAAAAAAAACTGGCAGTATTTAGAGGATAATGTCAAGGGAGAAGCCTGGAAGCATATGTGCAGGTTTGCAAGGTTTATCACAATGAGATAGGGATTTAGGATAAAGAGAAGTACTGAATCTTAAGGGAAACACCCAGAAGCCATTGAGATGCAGAGAAAACAGTTGTAAATCTTACCCAGGTCCTTGTAATACGAGGGAAATATGCAAGCGTAGGGCAAACTGGCACAAAAATGTGCAGCTCCACCCTGGCCTCTAGTCCAGCCTCCGATATAGCTTTTCTATAAATATTGGACCTCCAACCCAAGGCAGGTCTTCTCACTCTTGAGATAGCCCACATTCTCCCTTTAATGTGTATCTATCTTCCTAAATAAACCTGTCTGTACCTTTGGCTTGGGCTGAATTATTTTTCTGTCACAAAATTGTTTGCTGCCTTGTATGCCAAGAACCCTGCTGGTCCTGAGTTGAGTTCCCCCTTTCCTCTTGGAACTCCTTGTACCCTTCTCCAGGGACATTTCTTCTCCTTTGGCAGCCACACTACTTTTTAAAAAATCTGATTTTCAGAGCTGGGGATGTAGTACAGTGGTAGAGTGCTTGCCTAGCATATGTGAAGCCCTGAGTTCAATTCCCCTACACACAAAAAGTTTTATTTTCTCCATTGTGGTAGCACACACCTGTAATCTCAGCTACTTGGGAGGCTGAAGCAAAAGGATTGCAAGTTCAAGGCCAGCCTCAGCTATTTAGTGAGACTCTGTCTCAAAATACAAAATAAAAAGGGCTGAGGGTGGCAAAGTGACATTGGTTCAATCCTTAGTAACAACAACAAATTTCAGGTTACTGCAATTTAATTGCTGTTATTTCAAATAATTATTAATTTTTTGTTTCTCTTGACACAGTTACAAGAATGTGGTAATCTTGATCAGCTTCAAGGAAAGGAAAAAATCAATGAAGAGTGTCATCTAACTGAAAAAGAAAATGTAGAACATTTTACCACCTCTACAACTGATTCTGATTCATCTATAGCAGTTAAAGCACTAGAAATAAATACTTGTGGTTCAGTAGCAGGATTTCAACAAGAGTCTCTTGATGTTTCTCAAATGCTATCTGGAAAATCAAAGCAACCTGAAGCAAAAATGGAACCTACTTTTATTAAAGAGAAAGGTTCTACTTACTCAAATGAGGACAAAGATAATTTAAAAGAACCGGTAATAACCAAAGAAAAAGAATTGGATGGACATCACAATTTGAACAAAACTATAGTTCACAATATACCTGATTTTGATAGCATAAAAGAAACCAATATGCAAGATGGTACTGTGCAGATTATTAAAGATCATGTGACTCATTGTGCATTCACTTTTCAGAATTCTTTGCTATATGATTTGGATTAATTCTATATTATTCGGAATTTAAATGTTGAGTAAAAAAATTTTGGACCTAAAATAATTTCTTTCTGTTAAACATTAAAACAAAGGTAGTCAATTTGGAATTTTAATTCCAATGGGTAAACTGTAGTTTTGTTTTTGTTTGCCTTTAAATAGTTTTAATTTTGGAGATGTTTTAGAATTCCTCTAGTAGATATATTTTTTGAAGTAGAGATGTAAAACAGTTTTAATACAATGTGTGTGTGTGTGTGTATAAATATACATATATATTGACTTCTGTGTTGATTTTTGCTGCTTCTGCTTACCCTTACTTTAAAATTTCAAAATATTCACCAAGTTGTGTTTGTCACACAAAGTAATTCTCAAGAATGCAATTAACTAGAAATATGAATCCAAGTATGGGAGTAGAATCCTAAACCTGTTTGTTTTATAAGTCTCACTATAGGGTGTAGTTGCTGAAACAAGAGCTTGCAGGGGGAAAGAACTTACCCATATTGATAATCTAAATAATTACAATACAAATATCTAAATCGAATTTTTAGCATTTTTGTTTGAAAACTATATTTTACTAATATATGTTGCACAAACTACATGAGGTTAGTTTTAATGATTTTCAGAATTCAATTTTTAAAAACAATTTCTTGCAAGTTAAGTATTAAAACATCTTTTGGTTTTATAGAATACATTTGAGAATTTAGAACAGTTTAATTTTAATTTTTAAAAATCTGACAATTTGTTTTGAAAAGAAAAATTATTTTACTTATCACATCAAAGCAAAATCCATTCTTTTATAATTAATTTTTTAATAACCCAACTAAAATATGAGGCAAAGGGGAAATCCTAATGTGTTTCTCACAAAAAATTTTAGGACAGTGGGGCTGGGATTGTAGTTCAGTGGTAGAATGCCTAGCATGCGTGAAGCCCTGGGTTCCATCCTCACCAACACATAAAGATAAATAAATAAAGGTATCCATTAAAAAAAAAAAATTAGGATACCATGAAAACAGAGGAAAACACTTGATCTAATCACTAAACACAAGGCCACTGGCTGCTGTGTCCTGTTCTAAACATAGCTACTAATTCAGACTCTGGTCTTAGCTCAATTCTGGAAATGGCCTAATTTCTTTAGTCATTTAAACTGGAGATGTCAGGTCAGGGATCAAAAACTGGTATAAAGCCTGGTAATTATAATCTCCAGACAAAAACTGGCACTAGTGGCGCACACCTGTAATCCCAGAGGCTCACGAGGCTGAGGATGGAGAGTTCAAAGCCAGCCTCAGCAAAATTGAGGCACTAAAGAGCTCAGACCCATCTCTAAATAAAATACAAAATAGGGCTGGGGATATGGCTTAGTGGTTTATGCTCCCGAGTTCAATCCCTGGTACCTCCCTTATGCACCCCCCACCAAAAAAAGAAAAATACTGGCACTAGATTGGGATGTGAAGGTAGTAAAAAGGCAGCTCACAAAGGAACTGTCTCACCTTAGATGAGCATATATATTTTTCAACCACATTCTTAAGTTGATGCAATAGAAATTTGAGACTGTTTTCTTAGGTTGAGGGCTGAGGATATAGCTCAGTTATAGAGCACTTGCTTAGCATACATGAGGTACTTGGGTTCAACCCCCAGTACTGATAACAACAACAAAAAAAAGTTTTCTTAGGTTGAAACAACCAATAGTATTATCTACACAGAATATAGCTTTTGATGAGTAATTTTTTTTATTGAATGTAGTAATAAGGGAAACGTATACAAAATATGGAGTAAATTTTAAGCCTGTTACCTATTATTTACTGTATCCATCTTTTTTTAAAAGTACCTTGCCAGGCATGGTGGTGCATGCCTGTGACCTCACCTACTCTGAAAGCTGACACATAAGAATCACAAGTTCAAACACAAGGGTAGCATAGGCAACTTAGGGAGACCCTGTCTAAAAATACAAAAATAAAAAGGATTGGAAATGTATGTAACTCAGTGGTAGAGTACTCCTGAGTTCAACCCCTAATACTAGTGACAGGTGAGTTAAAGCTGGCACTAGAATGTGTTGCACTTTGGCACAACTGAACTTTGTATCATTTCTGGCCTTAAAAAACAATTTAGGCTGTATTTCTCTTACACAGCAGCTTTTTTGTTTATTATGTATGCCTGCCTAATTTGAAAGCTAAATAGTTTCTTCCACAGTGAATGCACTGTCATGAGCAGGGTTTTATTTCAAACTTATTATACAATGTATAGATAGTAAATATTAAGATGTAATGCTTTTAAAAGTTCAAAACTTTTAAAATATCTTTACTAAATTTGGTGTAAGGAGTAAACAAAATTTGTTCTGCAAAATGATTAGGAACCTTTTTATGCAAAAATGAGTATTTTATTTTGGTACACTAAAAGAAAAAAAAAAAATCAAATCCATTGTATTTCTACACTGAGGTGAAAACAATGTTTAAACTTGCTTATCAATCAAATACATTCCAAAAGAAAGTGTGTTCTATGAAGGTTCCAAAGCACAGGCAAATCTTAACACAATATACAGGAATCAGTAATACTGAAAATGACTGTTCTGACAGGGTGTTTAGCAAATATAACTTTTGAATTATTCAACCAGTGAAGCAATCCCTTCCTAATAACTGTGTCAAGAGTGAAACTGGGTTGTTCCATTAATACTCTTGTGATTTCATTGTAACACTTTTTTACTGCTATCAATTTTAAATTTGCTGTACTTAAAATAAGTTTTTGAAAGTGGAAAAGTATACAAAGTTTCAGATAAAAAGATTAACAGATGCAATTTAAATAAAACTTTCCCTCTTCCCTCATATCAATTAACAATAATCATTACTTTTAACAGAGACAGACTGAGCTTTAAAATTCAACTCCCAAAATGAAAACTTGTTTTACATCTTAATCAGATATAACTGGAAAAGATTATTATATTATATATTTGGACACCTTTTACAAGAAAAAAAAATTTTTTTGTATTAAAGCAGAAACCAGTTCCTAAATCTTTTATTCAGTTGTATATCCTGTTGAGACAAATATCAAAAATAGAAGACTGTCACTTTTGCTTTTGTAATTGACTTTTTTTTCACTGCAGCCTTCTATAACTTTTACAGAGTTCATGGTCCCTAATATCTCCCCACCCTCCATTTTTCCTAGGTGGGGAAATAGCTACCACAGTAAACTTTTCACTGATAGTTAAAGTTTCTGGAAACATGTACTGTTTGTTATTATTTAAGAGTAACTCAATTTGGGCACTCTGGGTGGAAGGCCTACATGTTTTCTTGTGATGCATTCCACAGTCTCCAGCATGAAAAATCCTAGGAGCTTGAGGAACCAGTACTTTCCAGAATTTTGGAAGACAAGATACAGTCAAATATTGAAGAGTCCAGTCCCAGTTATAATCATCATAGGTACAGAAAGTGTCTGTGCACTCAATCAGTTTCTGATATGCATCCCGGGTCAAGGCTAAACCCATATTGTGCTCTGTGGATTTCCAAGTTTTCACATCTACCTTGTCAGCAATGCCATGGAAATTACGACTGGCAGTATAGGTCCCCAGTGAGATAACATCACACTCAGGGCACTCTTGCTCCTTCAATTTCCACATTTTTTTGAAGACATGGTAAAAGTCTGGAGCTAAGTAGTGGTCCTCTTCTAGGAAGAGTATAAGGCCAGTATAATCTCGAAGAACTTTGACCCTTTCCCATACGAAATGCAGCTTCCACCACCAATGATGTTTGGTTTGGGAGAATTTGGCCTCTCTGTAATGGCCGAAGGAGTCAGGATACTCAGCATTAATACACCCCAATTTCAAAGCTGCATTCTTCTGCAGGTCTCTAGGGCAATCTCTAGGATCACTCCCCGGAAACTCGTTGGGGTACAACTGAATGCTGAAAGGAAAGAACACCTGAAGAACAGGGCAGAAATCCACCCCAGCGATCAAATGATTGATCTCTGTCGACCAGAAGTCATGGCTAAAAATGACGAGGACGTTGTCAATGCCCTGGGCTTTTCGAAGTGAGTCCAGTAACAGTCTGAGGTATTCCGGCCGGTTATGCACCTGGACCACCAGCACCAGCTCCCGGGGGGTCCAGGTGCCAGCCTTATCTACATTCCTCAGCGTCTGATCAAAGTTCAGCTGGTACACGAGGGACCGGTATCGCAGCGTAAGGTTGTCCGCCTCCGGCTGCGGGACCGCGGGGACCAGTGGAGCCGCCGACTCGTTGGAAACCCTGCGGATGCCCACCGACACCGCGGGATGGTCCCCACCCCGGCCTCCCGCGCCCCGCGCGGGCTCGACGTCCAGCAACGGCGGGGCAAGGGCTTCGTTCTTCCTTTGTCGCCCATTGCTGCTCCAGAGGACGAAGCCGCAGGCTGCCACCACGAGCATCAGAATTAGCACCTTCCGTTTGTAGATGCGGAACCTCATGGTCTCCAGAGCCGAGGGCACGGGCGGGAGGGCGCGGAAAGGAGCTGTCGGCCTCTGCAAGGAAGGGGCGGGAGGGCGATCGCCCCGGCCTGTGGTTGTAGGAACTGGCCCCCGCGGCTGCCCCGCTAACTCATCTCGGGCCTCGGGGGTCCTGGGGCTCGAAGGCTCTCAGCTGCCCCAAGTCACCCGGGATCCGCACATCTTCGCCCGGCAGCTGCAGCGGCCCCGCCGCTAGGAGCCGCGGCTCGGCGTCTTCTCGGTCCTCTCCATTCAGCACCACTGGTCCCGGAAGAAGCCCAGCCGCAAGCCCACCGCACCCCAGCTTCGTTACCTGCGCCTCCAGCGGCCCTGTGTCCTCTGCGCTCTCATCCTGACTCGGGTCCCGGACGACCAAGACTGAGCGACCACGTAGCCTCGCCCCACTACCGCGGCGATCGTTCTGACAACCCGGTACTGGCCCGCGGAGCGCCACGGCCCTTTGGCCCACACCCCTTGGGCCCTCCCCATAGGCCGTTGGTTGGCGCTTCCCAGACGCGTCCGGAGGCGACTGGCCGTAGTAGCCAGCTGCCTATTGGCTCGCAGTCCTGTCGCTCAAGTTCAGTTCCTACTTCCGCTCCATTCCTCCCTTTCCTGTAAGGCGCGAGCGTGGCGAGGCGAGGGCTGCGGCCGCGAGATCTCTGGGTAAGTTAGCAGCTGGACTGTAGCGGTTTAAACACGAGTCTCCATTGCTCAGAACCCGGGGAAGGACCTTGTAAGAAAGGGAAGGCGAGACCCGCTGCTTTGGCTTGGGTGAGTTTAAGAATTGGTTTCTCTGGTTAGGAAAGGAGTGTAGGCATGGCGGCTACTGGGCCGCGAGGCACGCCGCCTGGCTAAGGACACGTCAGCCCTGATGCTGACGGGTGACGGTGCTTCGGAGGGAAATCGTGAAACCAGACCGGTGTGATTCTTGGAGAAGGAACAGGGCGGATCGTAGCAGAAGCTACTATATCCCGCATTGCATCAGTCACCCAGGAGCTAGAAAATGGAGGAAGTGGGGGTGGGGGGAGGGAGTCGTAAGGAAATTCTTGTCTTTACCCTCTTTGGAAGAAAATTGGGTAAACACTGCATTTTTCTTTCTGGGCAGCACACTTTCTATAGACAACTGTGTGTACTGATTACTCCCAGTGCTGATGCTCGTGTGTTTAGTGAGTAGCTCTATAAATAATCCAGTAATTTAATTATGCATAAGGTGTTGGGCATTGAATCCAGGGCCTCGCACGTTTGGCAAGCGCTGTTCCACCAAGCTGCATTCCAACCTTGTCCAATATTCTAAAAGTGTGCACTTGTATGTACAGTTATCCATGGAGAAAATGAGTATTTGTTAAACTTATACATTACTGATTTATGAATGCTGTTTTTTTTCTGTAAATATTTGTATAAAACGTCTCACTTTTCAAAATGTTTAATGTGTGGTACGTTAAATACTTTATTACAGTTTTCATCGCGTAGACACCTCTGCTGTAAAGATGGTCAATGTACCTAAAACTCGAAGGACTTTCTGTAAAAAGTGTGGCAAGCACCAGCCTCACAAAGTGACCCAGTATAAGAAGGGCAAGGATTCCCTTTACGCCCAAGGAAAGAGGCGCTATGATCGGAAGCAGAGTGGCTATGGTGGGCAGACAAAGCCAATTTTCCGCAAGAAGGCTAAAACCACGAAGAAGATTGTGCTAAGACTTGAATGCGTTGAACCAAACTGCAGGTCCAAGAGGATGCTGGCCATCAAGAGATGCAAGCATTTTGAACTGGGAGGAGACAAGAAGAGAAAGGGCCAAGTGATCCAGTTTTAAACTTTTTGATTTTTTTTTCCCCATTTAATTTTGATGCGAAAATACTGAAACTAGAAAAATTACCTGTAGGGAAATAAATGACAATTATATAATCATACCTAAACCTTTTGTGTGAGTGTGTGTGTGTTTACTCAAAATTGCATGTTTAATGTAGTTAGGGCTTTAGAATGTGGTTCTTAATTTAAATTCTTTGAAAGTGAATTAAGGTTTATCCTCTTCTGAAATTCTATTTAAAATTAGTTCCACGAATTGGAATTTTGTGTTTATAAGAAAATCCTGCCTTGAATTTTACAACCAGGTTATAGACATAAGTCATGTTCTAGGGGAAAATGCACAGAGTACTATTTCCTTCTTTGTTTCTGGTCAATTCACATATACAGTAGCCATCCATTATCAATTGGGGTTACTTACAAGATCTCTGGTACTCTTATAGTACTGAAACCAAAGTTTTTTTCATTCATATATAGAGGATGAAGCTTAATTCATAAGTTTGGCATAATGGTAAGAATAAAAATTATGATTGTGTTTACAGGGTTGGGGCCTACCAGGAAACTGAGGCAGCAAGAACTCCCTTAGAACCATGATGCTCATGACAGTCAGATTTCAGATGTATTGCTCAGAGTAACAGGAAGAATTTATTAGAAGGGATACACTCCCTTGAGTGTATCCATGTAAAAGTGCAAGGGTATACTCAAGGGAGAAAGTGGGTTTTCAGAGGAAAGGGACAGTGTGCTTCTATACTCCAGTTTTAAGTTGTTTTTATGTGGTGCTGAGGATTAAGCACAGTACCTCACACATGCAAGACAGATGCTATACCAACTGAGCTACAACCCCAGCCCTCCTATACTCCAGTTTTATTGGGGACCCCAGAGAAATTTCCATAAGAGTCCTGACCAGGTCCACCTCATCACTTTTGACTGGCATTAGGATGATATCAGATTTTCAAGCCCCCCCCCCCCTTGCCATGAAACTACACTGACTTATATAAATTCTTAATTATAAATCATTATAGATAGAGGAATTCTTCCTGAGTTTCAGGATCTGGCCTATGAAAAGGGTCACATAATCTCCCCTTCGGGGTAGCTTGAATTACTCTTACGGACATTATTTTGGGCCCGCATTTCTGCAGTATATGACATATACTGCAGATAACAGGTAACTTTGCTAACGAATATGATATATCCAGCCAGGTAGGGCTGCAGGTAAATCATTCCTTGGAAAAGAAAGCATGTGGGAGTCAGCACAGTGGACCCATTTTATAGAATTATTCCCTTAACCTCCTGTCCTCTTATCAGTTAACACTGTAATAAAATTGCCGAGATTTTCTCTGGCACTTAGGGGCCATTGAGAAAATAAGAGTTATTTGGACATAAGCATTGTGACAGTTGTATGATATAACAGATGACTACAGAATAATAGGAAGTATACACTGTGGATACACGGGACAAAGCATGAGTCCAGTCTCGGGCATAAAATTTCATCATTGCTAATCAGAGTTGCTTGCAATTTAAAACTTAATGAAAATTATTTCTGATATTTTCAGAATGCAGTTTGACATGGTAACAGATGATGTAAAAGAGGATGTTGTGTATGTTGGGTGAATTTATAATAAAAAGTAAAGTTTTTTTGCTAGAATTCAAATTGCCACTAGCAATACAAACTTACTTTTTTAAAATTTATTTATTTAGTACTGGCGATTGAACTCCAGGGCACTCGACCACTGAGCCACATCCCCAGCCCTATTTTGTATTTATTTAGAGACAGGGTCTCACCGAGTTGCTAGGCGCCTCACAGTTGCTGAGGCTGGCTTTGAACTTGTGATTCTCCTGGCTCTGCCTCCCAAGAGGCTGAGATTACAGTTGTGTGCCACTGCACCTGGCACAAACTTACATTTTCATTCAATTATTCCTCAACCAGTATCTGGTCTCAGAGTCAGCTCTGAGAAGAAACTGTTTTAATGGTCACATCTGAATAAAGTTTTTAATAAGAAAGTGTCCTAACAGCCAGGCGCAGTAGTGCATGTCTGTACTCCAAGTGACTTGGGAAGCTGGGGCAGGAGTGTTGCAAGTTCAAGACCAGCCTCAGAAACAGTGAGACTCTGTCTCAAAAAATAAAAAGGACTGGGGATGTAGCTCAGGGGTGTAGTGCCCCTGGTACCTAAAAAAAAAAAAAAAAAATTAACATTTGAAATAGAATCACTCATGAATATTGGATTTTAAGGGGGAAAAAATGCCCAAAGTGAGAAACATTTTAGGAAAATGAAGGAGTAATTCTCAAAGAGTCTTCTAGATATAAGTGTGGTACTACATGCCTGTAAATCCAGTGACTAAAGCAGGAGGATGGCAAGTTTGAGGCCAGCCTGAAAATTATGCAAGACCCTGCTTCAAAATAAAAGTAAAAAAGGTGGGGGTAGAGCTCAGTGACATCCCTGGGTTAAATCCACATGTTGAGTGTGGCCTTAGGCCTGAGCCTAAGCAACTCCATTTAAAAAACTCCAGTTTGAAACCTGCAGTCTCACCAGGGACACACACCCACAGAGCCCTCCAGTAAGGCCTCAAACAAGTTATTTCCCCTCACCCTGGCAGGCTGTCCTCACCTGGTAAGAGGGAAAGGCAAAAAGATCAGGGTGGAGATCACCAGACCTAATGTTTCTGACCCCAGTGTAAATGATGTCATGGAGAAATCTGGTGGTAGTTGATAAGGATTGAAAGGGGGGGTCAAAAGCCCAAAAACTTAGTATAAATAGAGCTAATGAACAGGGATTCAGCCAGCTGAAATAAGGATGCATTTGAGCTGGAAAGCCTGATGAGGACCTGACATTCCATCACTTGTCATTGTTTCCTGAGCCTCTGCTTGATCCTCACCATTCTCAAAACCTCCTCTGGACCCTGGTGAGAGCTGAAACTCCTCCCTATGACCCGCCACCCCCCCAACCTGTTGTCCACTCCACGCCAGGAAAAGCCTGCCTTGGTTCTGGAGCTGATCACCCGGGTCTAAGTGAGTGTGCATCTGCTGGACATAAAGCCTAAGGTTTAAGACCTTTGAAATTAGCATGCAGAGGGAATGTCTGTCATTAGCCTGTCATGATTAAGTGTGTTTTGCAGTGCTTAGAATTAATCTAGAATTGTTTGCTGTGAATTAATCTAGCATTATTTGCTATGAATTGATTATGTCTATTGCAGTGCCTTAGCACTAAGGATTGTCGTTTTCTTGATTAAGAACCTATAGAATGAAATTGTATTAACTTGAGTGAATAAAGCATTGAAAGGCACAGAAGCTCATGGACATTCTTTATTTCTCCCCTTGACTGCATATGTCGCAATTTTGCCCCCTTGCAACACCCCATCACCACACACGGACACACACAAGACAAAAAGAACAATAAAAATGTTGCAATAAGAACAATAATAGAGGGAACCTACCTACAAGCCCAAATAATATGTGAATACTAGAAGGTTTTTTTCCAGTAATTTTTCCCCTTTCTTTCAAAAAACAAAACACAGTTATGAGGTTATTGCAATGGTCTAGCGGAAAGTATGATTTGAAGTAGGACAGTGGGAATGAACAGGATAGGAGTTAGTACTGATTCTGTTTCCCAGGATTAAGTCAGTTCCTTTTCCATTCTCTGTCCTAGATCAAATTGTTCTTTAGCTGGTGTACTGCCACCACTTTTTAAATTAAAAACTTACACAAACTTAATAGCAAAAAAACCCCCAATACAGTCAAAAGACAAAAAAAATCTACTAAGTACAGAATGTAATCAGTAAAAATGGCAAATTTCTGCTACCTCACTCAACCCTAAAAGTAAAAAAACTACAAATTAAACAAAGATTATGTGAAGGGCATTCTAAAACTTGTAAAAGCTTTATTCTATTCCTACTTAATGCTTGGTGAATATAATTCTGTATATAGAATAATATATGTAAAAACACCAAAAATGAAGTGCTTAACAACTTAAAACTGAGTATCTCTTATCTAAAATGCTTGGGACCAGAAGAGCTTTGGATTTTCCCCAGGATTTTAAAATATTTGTGTAGACAAAATTAGATATTTTGGGGATGGGCCCAAGACTAAACACAATTCATTTGTTTTATACATAAGGAGACATTACATATATATGCTTACACTTTATACACAGCCTGGAGGTAATTTCATACATTATTTTAGCATACTTTCATTTTTATTAGAACATTATAGTTAAACATAGTAGTTGGGTTCATAATACATGGAATTCCATTTCAGTTCACATTCCCCACCTTTGCCCTACTCTTCTCCTTACCCCCATTCTCCTTCCTTTACTCTAATGATCTTCCTTTTGCTCATCTATTCATTTTTTATTGGTTCTTTCTGATAAATGTGAAATTCCTAGTATACATTTATATATGCACATAGCATGATTTTTAAAAATTCACTCCCCATTTCCTCCCCTTTCCCATCACTCCCCTCCCTCCCCCTTTCCCTCTCCTTTTTCTATTCTACTGATCTCTGTATGATTTCTGATATTCCCCTCCTCCTTCCTTTATTTTGCTCAAGCTTCTACATGACAAGAAAACATTTGACCCTCGATTTCCCGAGGCTGAATAATTTCCGCCCATTTACCAAATGCCATTTCATTCTCCTTTATGGCTAGGTAAAATTGTGTATATATATCACAATTTCTTAATCCATTTATCTATTGATGGGCATCTCAATTGATTCCATAATTTGGCTACTGTGAATTGTGCTGCTTTATACAATGGGGGGGGGGGCTGTATTGCTATAGTATGCTTCTAGTTCTTTTGGAATAATACTAAGGAGTGGGATAGCCAGGTCATATGGTGGTTCCATTTGCAGTTTTTTGAGGAATCTCCATACTGCTTTCCAGAGTGGTTGTACTAGTCTGTAGTCTCATCAACAATGGGGTACCTGCATTTTGACTGCAACCTGTTATGAGGTCAGGTGTGATTTTCCACTTGTGGAATGTCAGTGCTCAAAAACTTTTAGATTTTGGAGCACTCTTGGGATTAGGGACACTTAATATGTGCAAAGTGTAATAATAAGTTTTCACTATTATTTGGAATTAGTCCTCCAAAGTGTATTTTATGTATAATAATACTCCCTTAATTGATATTCAAACAGAAAGGTGACATGAACATTCTTACAATTAGAATGATTGGGGTTAGTATCTATTTAACATTAAAACCCAACCGTACAAATCTGGAAACTTTATGGTGAAATCAATACTGCAATAAATGAATAAAAAGTTAACCCCACAATAATATTAAGATCAGTTTTAATGAAATTAAAGTTTTAAGGTCAAGTGACTTGAAATGTTGGCATAACACACATTCTTTTCCCTGAGTAAGTATATATAAAAGGCTTCCCTTGGACCTAGCACGGTGCTACACCCTGTAATCCCAGCAGCTTGGGAGGCTGAGGCAGGGCCATGAGTTAAAAGCTAGCCTTAGCAAACTAGCGAGGCTTTAAGCAACCCTGTCTCTAAATAAAATTTTAAAAAAGGCTGGGGATGTGGCTCAGTGGTTAAGTGCCCTCGGGTTCAATCCCCACTGGGGGGAAAAATAAATAAATAAAGGTTTCCCTTTTTCCAATTTGGCAGTGCAAAATCATAAGTCACAAAGGAATCCCAAGCTTACTTATAACTAAATGAAATTTCTTTTTGTGGCATCACCTATTACTTTAACACATCAGAGGAATTTACATAGCAGGTTAGAGAACAAAAGTAAGAGGTAATAGGTGCTTCTGTACCACCCATATTATCTACTAAGACCACAGTGTGAGCAACAGAGTGGAGATTCATGGTAGTAGTTCCTTGAATGTAACAGTTCAGACAATATCTTCCACAAACACAGGTTTTTGCAGCATCCAAATCTTGGCAAAGATGGTAAGGAATGATATGAGAGCCATATGGAATCCTATTGGAAAAAACAATGTTAAAGACATATTTTATGATAACTAGATTTCAGACTTTTATATTACAAAGAAATTATTTGTACACTGAATTATAATGATGGAAAAATAAAATTACAATTAAGGGGACTTAGTATATTGTAATTTCCTGAAAAGTGTGGACAAATATACTAATTAACTATGAAAGTATCTTTGAGCATGACCACTTAATAGCACTATCACACACACCTATGTATAATTTACTTATATATGTAAATATAATATATGTGTGTATATATACATATACATCTCTCTCTCTCTCTCTCTCTCTCAAGGGCCTTGCTAGGCAAGCACTCTACCAGTTAGCTAAATCCCCAGTCCTTTTTATTTTTATTTGGAGACATGATCATGCTGTTGCCCAGCCTCAATTTGCAATTCCTCCTGTCTCAGCCTGAATGTTTGAATGTAGGACCCAGTTTTGTTTTCTTAAATTCCTCAGGAGATTCCAATGTATAGCTAGCTATAATTAAGAATTTCTTGCCAGATGCAGTGGTGCACACCTGTGATCCCAGATACTTGAGAGACTGAGGCAAGAGGATGGCAAGTTTGAGGTAAGCCTGAGCAACTTAGCAAAACCCTGTTTCAAAATTAAAAAAAAAAAAAAAAAAGGTTGGGGATATAGCTCAGTGATTAAGCACCCCTGGGTTCAATCCCCAGAATAAAAGAAAAATTCAGATATCTGATTTAATTCATCTACAGAGTGGTGACTGATTATCTGAAGTTTTAAAAGATCCTCAGTGCAAAGTAAAGTTTGAGAACCACTGCTTTGTAATAATAGTTCTTCTTCCTTTTTTTTTTTTTTTTTTTTTTTATTTTTTAGTTGTTGATGGACCTTTATTTTACTTATTTGTATGTGGTGCTGAGAATCGAACCCAGTGCCTCACACATGCCAGGTAAGTTACCACTGAGCCACAACCCCAGTCAAGAAATAATAGTTCTTAATGATGGAGACGGCAATGGAAGGGTAGTGAAATGGATTTTAGTGGGGTCCGTAAGAATAATAAAGTATGCAAAAATTCTGTTTACTCATTTGTGTATTTTTCTCAATTCTTAACTTTGGTCAATTTTTAAAAGATTCCCTGAACCGTTAATAAGGAGAAATATGATCATCCTACCATTTTATAGGCATTCAAAAATATTTTGGTTATCATCTTAATTTCCACACCTATATGAAAGAAGTATGAGGGTTGGGGCTGTGGTTCAGATGTAGAGCGTCCGCCTACCATGCGTGAGGCACTGGGTTCGATCCCCAGTACCACATACAAATATGTGTCCACCTATAACTAAAAAATAAATATTTAAAAAAAAAGAAGCATGAGCAAAATGAACAACTGGAGTTTAGAGTCTCATGAAACGAGCTGCAGTTAGTGTTCAAAGTCAAGAGGAAGAGAACCAACAGCTACCGAGTTGTTCTATTATGCCAAATGCTTTGGCATTGCATTTGCTCATTTATTTTCACAACTCTGTAAAGTTAATATTATTATTTCTATTTCACAGATGGGCAAATTTAATCAAGAGGTTTAACTTGCTAAAGTCAAACAAAAGGGTAAAGCCAGGACTCAAACCCAAATCTAACTCTAAAGACTACACACTTTACCATTATGCCATAATGGAGTTTTCAAATTTAAGGGTGCATCAAAATCACCTGGAGGACTCAATAAAACACAGGCAGATCCTGGTATGTCTGGGGCATAGTCTAAGAACTTGCCTAATTAACAAGTTGGTAGGTGATGCTGCTGCTGCTGCTTCTGCTCAGAGGACCACACTTTGAGTAACAATGACATTCATTCTATTTATGAAGGGCCTACTATGTGCCAGAAGCAGAGCATCCCATGTTTTAGACCCTAAAGAAATAATGGAGAATAAAACAAAATTCAAATGGTATACACCTGTAATTCCAGTGGTTTAACTTGCTAAAGTCAAACAAAAGGGTAAAGCCAGGAATCAAGTGGTTTGGGAGGCTAAGGCAGGAGGATCGCAAGTTCAAGCCAGCCTCAGCAATTTAGTGAGGCCCTACACAACTTGGGGAGACCCTGTCTTTAAATAAAATACAAAAAAGGGCTGGGGATGTGGCTCAGTGGTTAAGTGCTCCTGGGTTCAATCTCTGATACAAAAAAAAAAAAAAAAAAGAAAGAAAAATTCATGCCCTCATAGATCTTACATGCTTATTAGAAAATCTGACAACAAAGAAACAATATGTTAAAAAAATATAATGTCAGGTAATAAATATTATGACACCCCCGAAACAACAACAACCAAAAAACCAAGCCATGTAAGGAGGAAGGAAGTGAAGAATACAACTTTTGATAAGGTGGACAGATAAGAACTTTCTGGAATGGTACTTAGGCAGAAAACTCAATGAAGTGAGGGAGAGAGTAGGAGAATTTCCTGAAAACCATTCCAAGCAGAGGTAAGGAACAACAAAAAGGCCATCATAGCAAGGGGTCAGGTTGTACACAGCACTTGAAGCTATGCTAGACTTTGACTATTATTCTGAATGATAAGAATATCAGAATGTTACCAAAGATCCAAATTTAATTATTATGAAAGTCTTACCTATTATATAGTATGGCTCGTGCAGAAGATTCCAATAAACTTAATGGCACTTGCAGTTTTATAACTGGAAAGACCTTTGGCTGTTCAAAAGTATTTCCAAAAAGATCCAAATACTCAAGGGATAGGTTTTTAAATTCACATGGCAAAAATGAAAGCTTATTTCTAGCTGCTGACAAAAAACGAAGGTTTGCTAGCTGTCCTATCTTGAAAGGAAACTGAATCAATTCATTATCATCAAGTTTTAAATCTGTAAGTTCTCGCAGCTGGCAAAACTGCACAGGGAGTACCTTGATTTTGTTTTTGCTGAGATCCAAACTCCGAAGTGACTTTTGGAGTGTAGACTGACACAAGGCCACACTAAATGACTCCAAGTGATTGTCATTCAGGTTAAGTTCTTGAAGGTGCATGAGGTCTCCAATTGTCGCTGGAAGCTTTTTTATGTGGTTGTGACTCAAGTCCAACTTCCTAAGGTTTTTTAAACAAAGCATACGCATGTCAACTCGAACAAGCCCGCAATAAGAAACCTGAAGGTGTTCCAGAGAATATGGAAAGTTCTTGCTTAGAGGATAGTCCTTTTTGGAAGTGATAACCATTTTTGTTTTAAATTTTTCAAATTCTGATGTTTTCACTGGTGTGAGTGTGGAAAGTGATGCGTTGATATCACAGCCTTTATGAACCAGTCTCACAGCTGAAAGGAAACTCTTCAAACTGCCAGAATTGGCCTGAATAAATAAAAAAGTTATAAGATCATAAATTCATTTTTAGATAACACATATGCTAGTTCTTCCCATAACAAATCCTGCATTTATATATGAAAGTCACACATTATTTTATTGAAATTGGCTGTACAAAATATTTTTTTTAGTATTTTATTTGGTCTAAATTTCAATTTTAAAAGTTTCTGAAAAAATTTGAGAATTATATTTAGCATAAACAGTCTAAATAAAACTATTCAAAGGGAGAATTGTTAAGAGTATAAAAATGAGATAGGCCATGCTTACGTATGTAATGCAAAATGCTCAGGATGCCATTCACAGATACTAGGAGTTGAACAAAGAGATGGCTCTTCTCAAAAACAACAAAGTAGCTGGGCACAGTGGTGCATACCTATAATCTCAGAGGTTCCAGAGGCTGAGGCAGGAGGATCACAAGTTCAAATTTAGTTCAACCATTTAGCGATGCCTTAAGCAACTTAGCGAGAACCTGTCTCTAAATAAAATACAAAAACAGGGCTGGGGATGTGGCTAAGGGTTAGAAAATACAAAAGGTAGAGATCCAGCTGGAGAGAATGAGAAATCACTTATAAAGTGGCATTTGAATTCAATCATCAATAAAAATAGCTAATACTTATAGGATATTTTAGAAGTTTCCTAAAATTTATAAGTGAGGGACAAATGAACTTTGAAAAACTATGTATTCCTATTTTGTGGGAATGTGGGAGTTGTGTAGAATATTGGAAATATAATATAGTATTAGGATACATTGTGAATGAGCTTGGATATCAAGACAAGGAGGGAATGATCAAGCTGTGGGAAATTGCTGAAGAATTTTGAGCAGGAGCCAGGCATGGGGGTGTACATCTGTAATCCCAGCTACTTGGAAGACTGAGGCAGGAGGATCATAAGTTTGAGAAGCCTAAGCAACCTGGCAAGACCTTGTCTCAAAAAACAAAAAGGGCTGGGGCTACAGTTCTGGGTAAAGCGTCTCTGGGTTCAATCTACAGAATCAATCAATCTATACATCAATCTATCCATTCATCAATCAGTCAGGCTAGGAATGTAGCTCAGTGGCAGAGTGTTTACTTTAGTTTGCAGAGGGCCCTGGGTTTGATCTCTAGCTCTGTGGGGAAAAAAAAAAAGTTGAGTAAGATATTGCTCTTACTCTCTGGGAAGGAGAAAGAAGGGGTGAGAGATGGCAAAGAAAATAGGTTTTAAAACATTTTTAATGGTTTAGTTACTTTAAAAATGATTATAGTAAATAAAACACAAAAGAGATGGTTCTCGTTGCATTTTACCCCCCTTTTAAAATCAAATTTGTTTGGTGGTACTGGGGATTGAACCCAGGGACATGCTTCCACTGAGCTACACCCTCAGCCCTTTTAAATTTTTATTTTTTAATTTTTCAGACAGGGTTGTGATGGCCTCAAACTTGCAATCTTCCTGTCTCAGCTCCCAAGTCATGAGCCACTGGGATTATAGGCATGTGCCACAGTACTCAGCTTAAAATGAAATTTGTAACATGAGGTTTAGGTGGCAAAAATGCAGTCCTGTGCTACTTGCCATTACAGTTCCAATTTAAGAACACTATCTATACTGGGCACAGAGGCAAACCTACTTTTCCTCCTTGTCTTTGGAGCCTCCCTAAGGCAGCCTCTGCTCTCTCCTAAGGCAAAAAATACACACAAGCATATCTGGGAAGCTGCCTCTTCAACATACCTGCAAGAATCCTCCCTTACTTAGCTATGTGAGATATCAGAATGCTGGAATAGCTTTCTTCTTTAAAGAAAACAGAGTCAAGCAACCTAACCTGTTTTCAATACCATACCTTACTTAGACAGATATCAACAGGAGGCTCCTTTAACCGGATAGTAGCTTTCCCTTCATCTGCAAATTTGGTGAAGAACTGCTCAATGTTTTCCTTTAGCTGCTTAAAATCAATGGGGAAAAAAGGACAAAAATAGTATTGTTATTCAATAATTCTTACTACAACTAGAATGTACCAGTTACTTTACCATGTTTTGATTGGGCTTTTAGTCCTTAAGTCTGGGTGTTTTACAGTTGCCTCCCACTAGGTTATAAAAGAATTCCATGACAGGTGAAATTGAGTCTTTTTTATTTCTGTATTCCCAGAGCTAGAACAGTAACTGACACATAATGAGTACTCAACAAATTTTCACGATTGATGTCACATTTGCTTTAGACTTCAACAACTATTTATTGAGAAGCCACTATGTACCTCATACTATGATACAGGCTGAGACATAGTAGTGAATAAGACTGACATGGCAACTACACTTAGAGTTGACAGTATGATATGACAGTTTTAAAAAGTAATTATAAGCATGACAAATATATCGTGTAGGCTGCTATAATCTTGGCAAGGAAATCTTACATAGTCTATAGGAAGGTGACCTTAAAGGTGAGATTAGGAGTATTTGGGTGATGTTGAGCAACAGATGCAAGGAAAATGGATGGAACAGCATTCCTAGGAGGAAAAAGGTAAAGCCTGAGGAAAAGGAAAGCTTGACAACTATGAGGAACTGAAAGAAGGTAATTCAAGATGGTGGAGAGGTCTGGAGAAAAGGCAGAAGAGTATGGAAGGATAAGAAGAAATCAGACAATGAAAGACTTTGTAATGTATATTAAGAATTTTAGACTTTACCCTAAGAATAATGAAATCCACTGTGGGTTTTTTTTCTTCTTCTTCTTTTGGCAGGCGGGGATGCAGGGGAGTATACAGGATTGAACTCAGAAGTGCTTAACCACTGAGCCACATCTCCAGACCTTTTTTGTATTTTATTTAGAGTCAGGGTCTTGCTAAATTGCTGAGGCTGGCTTTGAACTGGTGATCTTCCTGCCTTAGCTTCCCCAGCTGCTGGAATTACAGGTGTGCACCACCATGCCCAGCCTAATGAAGGCTTTTAAAATAAGAAACATGATCAAATCTCTTATTTTTAAAAATTCCCTTAACTGCAGGGTAAAGCCTGAACTATGAGGAACAAGAGAATGGGACAGAGGAGGGACAATGGAAGAAGGAAGGAGAGCCTTTTAAGAGACTAGCCAGGAAAGTGATAGTTCAGAGCTGGGATGAAAAATGCTTAGGAAGTAGAATTCAAAGGATTCAATGATATAATGGATATAGGGAGGCAAAAACTTTAAGGTTTCTGGATGGTAGTGCTATTTAATGAGTTGTAGAACACTGACAAAGGCAGGTTTAGGGTGACAAGAAAAATTAATTTCTAGATATTTTGAATTGAAAATTTGAAACATATTCAAGTAAGATCTCCAGTAGGTAGTAGATTTGAACTCACAGTTAAGGAAAGAACTAGCTAAGATACAGGTTTAGTCAGATGGATGGTAGCTTGTCACAACGCAGGAAAGTAAAATGTCCCACAGTTAGTACTAATGTCTATTCTTCATGGCCCAGGTATGGCATTACCTTAATTCATCCAGCCAATGTTTATTGAACACCTACTAGGTTCTGAGTACTATTGTACCATATCTGCCAAACCTTCTCAAGCTCCTGTAATCAGAATTCATCTCTCTTCTTTTTAATAGTTTAGTAATAGCACTTATTATAGCCCATCTTGTATTATAAGTAGTGGCTTCTGTTTCTCCCTATGATTAAGTCAAGTTTCTTATCTCACAGTTTCTAGCATTGCACCCTGCACACAATAAGTCTTCAACTAAAGATTTACAACAAAATTTGGTTAGGATTCTGACCAGCTTGTCTATTAATGCAGCAAAAATTTAAGAAGGGAGAGTACAGGGGCTAGGATTGTGGCTCAGTGGTAGAGTGTTTGGCACGAATGGGGCATTGGATTCAATTCTCAGCACCACATACAAACAAATTTAATAAAAGTCTATTGACAACTTAAAAAAAAGTACATTATGAGTTTTTTAAAGAGACAATACCTACACTGGGCATGAAAAAGGTCAGTTTTGGGGAACTTAATCGTGGAGAAAAAGAGAGGCCCAATTCTAGTTACAAGTTTCCTTCTGACATTTAATGGTTCTCTGAACTATAACATGTTGAGTAATTTCTAAATTCTTTCAATTTTTCAAAAAAAAAAAATTGCAAGAAGTGATTCCATCAAAATTTAGACTTTCAGCTACTTACAGCAAACATTAGGTGGTTATGATAGTAACACTATTTTTCCTCAACTAAGTATTCACTGTGGAATATAATATGTAAGGAAAAATAATCCTAGAAATTGTATAATACCCAAAGTTAGAAGCAAGGTGGATGATGAATTGTTTGCTTGGTTTTATTTGTAATAGCTATGAAAATATTCTGTTTTCACAAAATAATATAGTGCCTGGTAATAGAAGAAACGGAATTTTTATAAAGAAATCTATATTTGAAAGTTTTGAAACTTCAACTTCTAACAGCTTCTAGAGTTTGTCACAGCTCTACAGAAAAGATCTGGGCCTAAGAAATCAGGTCAAACATTAAAAAAGAGGGAACGGGGACATTATAACCAATAACTTACATAAAAATATGAAAATGCAACCCAAAGCACTACTGTACAGTTTTACTATTGTACTAATTGGGCCTACTGACTTTGGATGCTATTCATTATCTCTTAAAGGCGGCTGTTTAAAAAGAAGTTGGGAAAAACACAATTTACCATATAAAAGTGCAGTTACTTCACTGTTCCCTCAAATTAGCTGCTTCACTTGCAGTTGTTTCACGCAGTGACATTTTAGAGGATTTAAAAGGGCGGGGTTGCTTTCTACTACTGAATAACGACGACGTAAATTCAGCCACAGAAATGGGCAAGAAAAACAACGAAAAGGTGCATTCTCAGAAGTTTTCGGGCGGGTAAGTAGCCCCACAAGACTGTAGGCCTGGGTGGTGGTGGGACAAAGGGGCCGGGCCGAGCTCCCCAAAGCGGAAGCGGGTTCCGGAACCGCCGATGCGGCGGTTGATCTGAGACTCAGCGCGCGCCTGACTCCCCTGGCATGCCTGCCCGCTCCATCTGCACTCACTTCATAGCGGGTCCCGCGCTTGTCCTTCATGGTAGAGATTAGTAGGCAGGCGGGGCGCGGGCTGCCAGGCTCGCCCCTCGCGCGGGGCCGCAGCTGACTCCCGGGCGTCTGCTGACAAAGGCTCAGTATAGCTCGGACACCCTTGCCTCGGTTCCTGAGCCCCAAGGCCGGCAAGTGCCGGCTGATCACCTCCACCTCGCAGTGCAGCTTCATCTCGCCCTGGCGGCGGCATCAATCAAGTCACTCCGCTTTAAAACTTCCTCCTTCCCGCCACGCCGCGCCCGCCGGGGTCCTAGAGCAGGAAGGCTGCCCGCGGATCCGCCTGTCGTTGGACGAGCCGACAGCACTGGGTTTAAGCGTCCAGCGCTAGCCGCGTCCACTCTCTTTGTCCAGCAGAGCCCTTCCTGTGGTCGCCGGTCAGGGGAGCGCCGTCATCGGCCTTCTCAGGACCTGGCTCGCGCTTTCGAAACCGGCGGCAGGCGAGGGCGCAACGTCCTCTCTCACGAGAGGTGCAGTTGGCTGCCGTGGCTGTTATTGTTTGGTACCGATTCCTACAGTCTCCACGGTTGACCGCTGAGTTTCCCAAAGCTAGGCAGGCATCCCTCTGTTTATGGGGAAATTACGAGCTGCCCCAGAAGCCAGCGAGGGCGCGGCATTTCCTGGGGAGGACGGGCTGGCGTTTTGGTGGCCCACTTTAGTTAGAATCCGACACCTGTCAATTCAGAGCGAAGCTTTAAATGACAGTATTTGACTTGGCAATTCCGGTTAAACAAATCTTGCTTTGCCACGGAGGGTGGGTTGAATGCAGTGATTGACTTGGCTGCATCCGAGACTAGGAAAGATCGTCCAGACCCCAGGTTCCCTTCCCACTCCTTATTCCTTTATTGAGCCCCTGGAAGGGCGCGGACTGAGATGTGGAAGGCGCGTGGGCCACAGACTTTAAGAGGCCATAGTCTGGGGTCGTAGTCTGGCTACCTTAAGGTTTGCGCTCCGGGAGCCTCCCTTCCCTTCTCTCACTTCTGGCCTGGTATTAAACATTCTATTTTGTGTAAGTTGTAGTTTGGTAATTGTGAATTCGCGTTCTGAAATATCAGTTTTTCAGTTAAACTGTGACGATTTCATGATTCGTCCTTAAATGAGCATTTCTGTTTACATACAATAATTGAGCCCAAAGTGTTACCTGTGGATTCTGCATTCTGAAAATAGTACTTGGTTCAGGGAAAATAAGGATTAAGACAATAAATTACCACCACCCTCCATTTAGTACATGTACACCTAGTAGAGCATTGAAACTATTCATTGTTTAGCAACATTAATCTCATAAAAACGGAGAAAACTAAAATGATACCATAGAATTTTCAGACAGCCTTTGTGGGAGTTGTCTTATTTTTGTTCTTTGAATGGATAATAACAAAAGAAAATAATAAAACACCAGCCTTAAGGGAATATTACATTAAATATACTCTGAACCTGTAGGTACAGTTGGGAGCCAGGAACATCTTAAAACTTGTAAAAGCCATAGTAATTTTAATTAAATAGATTAGAAATGAATAAAAATTGATAGACCCAGCCTAATTCCCTCTTAAGATTGGGAGCCATCCCATCACAAAGGCATGAAAAGTTAATTTCGGCTTTACTATAAATTACTGTGTTTTCTAAACTTGCTTGGAATGCCTGCCTGTGCCTTGAACTCACCCATGCCTGGCTTTCCCTGACCAGATAACAACCCTCTCTGAAACTCTAGTGGAGCCTCATTAATTCTGATGTTGAGATCTAAATTTACTCCCTAAGTGCTGGACCATTAACCTACTACCTGCCTTTGTGTTATGCTTGTCAAAATTCTGTTATCTGTAAGTTCTTAAGACACCCTCCCTTTTTGCAACTTTCTGTGCTATAAAGCTGTGCTCCTAGAAAGATGCCATGCTGTCTTAAATTCCCACGGGTTTTGGGAAAGACAGCCCTGGCCAGTCTTTTCTTTGCATCATGGTTTAACAAAAATAAAGATTTTTTTTTAAAGCCTCCATGTTTTATTTGGTGTCACTTATGTTCCTAAAGCATGAATTCAGTAAATAAATGTTAAATAGTTTAAATATATGCAAATCACATAACAGTTCAATGGTGATGTTAGAGAGGAACAGTGGCATAGAGCTACCAATTATCTTCTTGTCAGATTTTCAAAAGAAATGTGGGATTGCAAAATTTTGAAAAATAAGATTATCTTATTAAGTAAATTTAAATAAGATAATATTTGGAAATAAAGTAAACATCAGTTTTTGAGACCTCATTCTTCTTTTCTACATCTTCCCCTTAGTCCACTTAGTTTTTAATAGTTGAAATACTTGGATCTGACATTCTAGAGTATCCCCAAAGTTTTTTTTTTCCTTAGTGGGCTATTGGTGAAGCAGAGGATTCTATTGATACTGCGGGTTATCGGTGATGAGTCTTACTTCCCCACATGTTGAAGTTTGAACATTAGAGAAGCACCCTGAGGCAAGCATATAAAGCAGGGTTTATTTAAAAAGGGGTAACACAGACTTGTCCCAAGAGGGAGAAGGGTATCCTGGTGTCTTGAGAAGCAAGGTGTTCTACCCTTCTTATATGTCCTAGGCTTCCTTTGTTCTCCTGCCTTTTCCCCCTTACAAGACTAAGCCCAGGAATGCTGGTGGGAGGGCCAAAAGGTGGGAAACAGGTGGGCTGAAGGGGGAAGGGCAGGGTGGAGTAGCCAAAGACACGTGAACAACCTTATAGCTCCCTCTAGGGAGGAGGAATTCCTGGGACCCGTTACCTTGGCTACTGGTTGGAGCAGGGGCAGGTTCTTGATAAGATCCCTCAGGATCAGTCTCTAACTTCCCAGACTCACTCAAAATTGGCCTCCTTGATGAGACCTGACTTGATTCACTATCTACACTGACTGCCTGTCTAATTCAGGCTTCACTATGAACACCTATTCACACTTTTTTCTCTTTACCATCATACTTATGAAAACTGCCCTTTGATCTTTTCTAACCTCAATTAGCTCAAGCTAGATTCCATTGTAGGCTGTCTGAAATGGAAATGCAGAGTTAAATATTAGGCTTCAAGTTTTATTTTTAAATTTTTATTTTTATTTTTGCAAAAGGAATAAAATAACATGTAGATTTGTTTTCCTTCTGTAAAATTAGTTGTTCTTTCTGGCCTGAATACCACATTCATTCCCTCCCTTGTTACTGGGGGAAAACCCAAATAAACCACTAGCTTCATTCGTGCTTAGTTGAATTTAAAATAACTAATTTTGGAAGTCACACAGCTGGATCCTCTCTATTAACTTTGCTGTAAATAACACCTCTGATATGTGGCTTATAATTAGAATGGTTGGCCAGTTTTGCTAATAACACTTCCACCAGGCGACCAGCACACTGGTTTCATTAAAGAGGTTCGTGGCATAAAAGTTAACTAGTGAGATCAAAATAAAACACACAAACTCAATTACCTTTTTCTATGACCAGGTCCTAGATGGCTCTCACCTCTCTGGCTTACACCTCGAACCACCCAGTAGGGCAGCAAGTCTTACTCAGGGCTAGCAGGAGCGAGAGAGAGAGAGAGAGAGAGAGAGAGAGAGAGAGCACACCAGGGAGTGGCCTTTTATTGGGGAACAAGAAATTCAGGGGAAAATTCCATCCAATGAAGGTCGAGGGGGGCAGCATTCCAAGGTCAGGGTCAGTGATTAGCCTCAGGGTCAGTGGTCAGTCACACCCCCACATGGACAGGCTCTCGAACCTGGAGAGGGTGGGGAAAGCTCCGACACAGTTTAGCCAGAGCGCCTCACACCCAATCCGGGAGGTGCCCAATCACGTGCAAGAATGGTTCCCCACAAACACTAACTCTTTACTTGGGCCTGCAGATGTCAGATGGGTAACTGGAATGGGATGTCTTCATCTTATGTCTGTCTCCTTTATTGCCTCAACCTTAAAGTCAGAGTCTACTCAGCTCTGTATGCAGACTTGTTAACAAATAGACACCTGAACATTAAACCTCTAGTGCTCCCTTGCTCTGATGATACTCTTTGATCATATCTTGTAGGTTGTATTTCTGTAATAATTTCCTAATGAATACATTTCCATTTTCAGAGCCCTTCAATTCAGAGCTGTATTCTCTGCAGAACTATTGCTAAACTTACCTGTTTTTTTTTTTTTTGTTGTTGTTGTTGTTTGTTTTTTTGGTATCAGGAATTGAACTCGGGGGTATTTAACCACCAAGCCACATCTCCAGCCCTTTTTTATATTTTATTAGAGATAGGGTCTCACTAAGTTACTTAGGGCCTTGCTCAGTTACTGAGGCTGACTTTGAACTCGAGATCCTCCTGCCTCAGTTTCCCAAGTCACTGGGATTATAGGCATGTGCAGCCATACCTGGCTTATCTGATCTTCTTTCTTCAATATATTTGTTCAAACATTTAATTTTTTTTTTTTAAAAAGAGAGAGTGAGAGAGAGAATTTTAATATTTATATTTTAGTTATTGGTGGACACAACATCTTTGTTTTTTTGTATGTGGTGCTGAGGATCGAACCCGGGCCGCACGCATGCCAGGCGAGCGCGCTACCACTTGAGCCACATCCCCAGCCCCTGTTCAAATATTTAATATTTATGTGTTCTTGCCTATATCAGCCCCTATACTAGATGTTTAGGAGGTAAAAATGAATTTATAGTATGTATGGAAAGACAAATAAGCCAACAATCAAACTATAATGGAACATATTTTAGGTGAGGTCTTAGAGGAGTATAAAAGTAGCCAGATGAGGAAAACTTGAATAGCTTGAAAGTTTTGGAGTACTATTGAATATTTTACAATGGGTGATAAAATTCAGATTTGTAGCCCGACATTAGTGGCACACCATGCTTGACTGACCATCTTTTTATAAAAACATTTTTTTTTTTAGTTGTAGATGGACAATACCTTTATTTATTTATTTTTTTTATGTAGTGCTGAGGATCGAACCCAGTGCCCTCCACATGTGAGGCAAGCACTCTACCACAGAGCTATCGCCCCAATCCCTTGACTGATCATCCTAACAATTTTGTTGTCCTATAGGATTTGGGGAGGATGTCTGGGTTACTTGGGCAAAATTATGATTAAGATCACTGTCCTCTTGTCAAACTGGATTCCTACAGGTGAGAAAAGCCAAACAGGAGGCATTAGAGATGCTTCTACCTGGGAAAATAGTAAATTAAAAACACATTGCATCCCTGGAGGGACTGCAGAAACTAG